AAATTTTAATAGTTTGAGGCTGCACTATCTGATATAGTAGCTACCAGACACATGTTGCAATTAAAACATCATTAAAATAAAACAGAACATCCAACTCCTCAGTCCTACCAGCCACTTTTAATTGTTCAACTGCTACCATATAATATGACAAAGATGTCACACCCAAAACAAAGAAAAATCTCTCTCTCAGCTTTAAAATTTTACAGCTTTTTCCATTCCTGTTGTTAGTGCTATTGAAGCTACCCAAGTCACAAGGCTCCACAGCATATTCTTTTATTTTTTTTTCTTTTCCACAGCATATTCTTGAAGTACTAACAAACTTCCCAGACCAAACCAATCTTCACTCTTGTGAAACAAGAGGCAGTCATCATACAAATGAACCTGATTTTTTTTTTAAAGCAACAGTAAAGAAACAAGTCCTTTAATCTACTGACTATACAGCAATCTTTATATAGTAAATTGTATATAATACTAATACAAAGAAAATAAAAAACTTTTATGCAAAAAGTACCCCTCAAGAAAGAGCAATGACAAATCGATCATTAAGTTTTAAATTATTTTTCATCCCTGGTGTAACACATACCGTAATGTGATGTCTAGAGCAAACTTTGACCTCCAGCTTTATTAAAAATGACAGATATAGTTACAGAGAGCAAACCACGAAACAAGCAAAGCTGATATTTCAATGACTTCATGTATTTCAAACCAAGAAAAGTTAAATCCAAAGAACTCTTTTAGAAAACAAGCTAATTTTTAAATTCTCTTTTATTCGATCCTAATGTACTGCCATCAGCTAAACCAATTTTGGAAAACTAGAATACCTGCAGAGAAAACCCGTTTCCTTTGTTAAAAGCAGACATGCACTTGCTTATTAAGAGCCTTTTGTTTTCAGACCGTGTGTTAGTTTCTTTTTAATAAAACTTCGAAATACTGTTTTTAAATAAACAAAATTCTTCCTGTTCTCTAATCTTTACAACACTGAAAACCTGTGTCCAAAAAGTTTACAAGGAGTCAACAAAAGATCTTTTTAATCACAACTGCCTTTGAAAGTGATTCAGCATCCATTTAAGCCCACAAATAAAAGCTTTACTTTTATAAGTTTTCATTAAACCTGCTATTTGTTATGGTTGTTTAAAATCTAAAATACAAGTCTTTTTTCTAGACAAGTGAATCGACTCACATTTCATAATATTTCTTTGTTTGAAAGAGTGCTTTAAAACATTAACCACTTTGCCAGGAAGGAAAAATTCCAGTAATTTAGTTTTACTATTCCTTTTATACTTCTGAATCCTCAGAAATTCAGTTTTGTTGATAAGTTGACAAGACTAAGTCAGATACCAACAATGACTTGTTCAATATTTTAAATCTATTAACTGTAGCTGGCTATGAGTGATGTTGAGCATCTTTTCATGTGTTTGTTGGCTATCTGTATGTCTTCTTTGGAGAGGTGTCTGGGTCTTCTGCCCATTTTTTATTGGGCTGTTTTTCTGATATTGAGCTACACGAGCTGCTTGTATATTTTGGAGATTTCACAAGGTTTCTTAATGAATTCTATCTAAAATACAAGGGGAAAATAAGTCAAATAAGAGTTCCTAAATTTAACTTCTGTTTCTTTTTGAAACAATAATATGTACCACATACAGTTCCATTTGTAGTGACTAGGGGAGAGAATCTGGAGTGAAAGGAGAGGAAATATTACACACAATAATTTGAACACCTGCCCTTGTGTGAAAATCTTGAGATTTTCATTTTTATTAAAATCTTCATGTGTCTCCTAAAAGAGTGGGTTTGTGTCAAACCAAAATGATTCCTTCTGGCATTGGTTTCCCTCTTTTGAAATCATGACCCATTTTATGTTGTTCTGCTTGCTTGATGCGTGCGTCTTCTGGATGTGCTATTTACATACGAAGTGAAGTGACCTGCTCTGCAAGACTGTCCCTCTTGGGAAGTCAATGGAATAGCTCACGTATGCTGTGATTTGGCTCTTTTTCAGGAAAAATGTTCTGTAGCTCCTCAGTCCTCCAAGAGGATCGAGAGGGTACAGCAGTGTAGTTTCGATATTACCTTCACCACTTTTGGAAAAGAGTTAACAAAATTCAAATCTTTCAAACATCTACTGCCTACTCAGCACCAGACATTGAGTACTGCGGACGATACAAAGATCTGACATATGGTTCCTAAAGCCCCCAAGGACATTCACAAATAACTAACATGCAGCAGGAAATTACAAGTATCCCAGGGACTGTGAGCTTAGGAGAGATTATATCCAGCTACAACTGGAGCCCGGGAGTGGGGGAGGGGCATGCAGCCAGTTCAGTGATAAGTTCATAAAGGATATGCAAAAACAGGACAGGGCAGGGACTCATGGAAAGGGGGAAAAAAACAAGAGAAGAACCGCAGACCTCAGAGCAGGTTTCAACTGCTTCAGAGGACAGAGCACATGGAAAAGGAGCCTTAACATTAGCTACAGTCTACAGCTATTTTGACTATAAGTATAATAACTAATAATCAAATAGGTTAAATCTAATACACCAATATTTTATCTCTGAAGCAAACCAATCGGTCTAACCACAAGAAATGTATATACAAGGAAAATCTACAAACTGAAGCAAAATTACTAAAGTACACTGGAAAATACACACACGTACACACACACACACACCCCATACAGGAAAAGAAATCCTTTTTAGTTTCTTAATCATTGAGAGGTGTGGGAGAAATGTTGAACTACAGCTCCGCCAGCTTACCACTATCACAGATTCTTTTTAGGCTGTCAGTATAAAACTGCATGATGATTCCCTAGTATTTTGTTCTAAACCCACAAACGAGACGGTTATGTGACCAGCTGCAGCTCCCTTCCCGCATTTCAGAAGCCCTGGGTGTCCACACACTTGCGGCTCTGTATTACCTCACACAAGAGACTGGCAGTTGGCCAAGAAGCCCCTGCCATGGTGTATATTCCCCAAGGTTCGAGATCTACCACTTAATTCCAATTCAGCCATGAAATGACTTGTACTTTAGTACCCTATACCAAATGAAAGCAAATTAAATTCCAGTCGAAGTTAATAAAGATATTCCTCCAAAATGCAATATGTAAAGATGTTAAAGTACACAGTCTATTATTTTTAAAGAGACCTACAAATATAATTCTACTCCATTAAGAAAATTCTAAGATAATTCTTTAAATTTCTTCAAGAGTTACTATTCCTTCGTAATCTTACCAATAGCAACAAAACCCACTGCACACAGAGATCCAATTGTATTTCCAAACTTCCCCATTAAGCATCTCATGCACATTGCTAACTAAATATCAAGAATAATGAATGTTCTCAACATCTGGTGCATACAGACTGACACAACCTACAAGGATGACTATGAGACAGATACCTCAAGAATGATCTTAATTCCTGCTGTTGAAAGAGAAATACTTACAACTTTATAGAAACACACAGTTCTGTCATTTAGATAGTTGTGTCATTCTAGTACATAAGCGTCCTGAGGGAAAGGGGGAAAATCTAATGAAAATTTTTAACACCTTATCTAATGCTTAATTTTTGTAGGAAGGAGTGTTTCATGAGATTACAGAACAATAAACTGAGCACTAGGTTCAGAAAATCTTCACAAGATTTTCACTTTTACTGATGTCTTCGCCTGCCTCTAGCTTGTCTCTCAGGTCTGGACATCATCCACACAAAGGATCACTGAAACAGTAGTGATCTGGAGGACTAAATCTTACCATGGTTTATTCAGTAGCCACAGCATTGTAACTGTAAACTTGTAAAAATGTAAACTTGGGAAGCCACTGACCTTTTCCCCTGCCTTTTGATGGACACCTGTCTATAATACAATAGTCAACCAATGATATAGAAAGCACACAACTTCAGTAGAAAGTGTGAATCAAAAGCAGTATTTGGACCTTAAATCCCCATTCCTGCCCAGTATTGCCTTCATGTATTGTTTTTGCCACACAGCATTCAAGGGCTGTATGGCAAAAACAAAAACCAAAGGGCCCCTTTCAATGTCAAAAACCTTTCAAATTCAGTAAAATTATTAAAAACAATAAAGATTTATTCACAACTTACTAGTCAAGGAAAGAGATTTGCTTCACACTAAAGTAAAACTGTAAAATACACTGACTCTCTGAGCATACCAAACGGATGTGGATTGTTAAAATATCACTTGTAACCTAAATAACCTGTTCTAAGTAGTCAGAAAAATTCTCAATTTCTTGTCATCTATATGAAACAGACATGTACAGTGTATCACAAAGAGAGAATAAGGCCTCCAATGTCCTTTTATGGGATGTGATACTTAAAAAAAAAAAGAAAGAAAAAATTAGCCTGAAGGACCTCCCTGGTGATCCAGGGGTTAAGAATCTGCCTACCTATGTTGGGACTTGGGTTCGATCCCTGGTTGGAGAACCAAGCTTCCACATGCTGTGGGGCAACTAAGCCCAATGCAGCCAAATATATAAAAAGAAAAAATAATTTAAAAAGGAATTAGCCTGAAAGACTACACGCAAAATTCTTAACATTTACCTACAGAGAAGAGGAGAGTGGAACTGTGTATGAACAGGAGAGACTGTCAAAATAATTTTTTAAACAAAGAAGTGAAAATTTTAAGATGATGTAACAAGATGTAAACTGGAACAGTAGGAACATGGATTTCTATCATGTTATTCTTTAATTAAAAACAAAACAAGAAAAAGAAAAGAAATCATAATGAAGAACAACAGTTACCTTTCATTTCCCTAAAGCTTAGTGGGATGGGAAGAAGAGGCAGCCAAGAAGTGGAAAGGGCCATACAAGCTTACATCTGAATGATTAAGGACAGGCACTCCTGACAGCCCGTCCTCTGTGCATGCCCACAGGTCTAGAGAGCAGTGACAGCAGCCTCCCACAGGCTTAGAGACTAGAGGAGGGCAAAGAGCCAGGAAGACAAGCAAACACTTGTACACACATAGTAAAGGAATATCACTTTCAGAAAATATTAACACTTACCAGTATGTACTGTAGCTACTGCAATCCATACACACCGTGTGCTGTGCTTTTTCTTGCTTTTCTGATTTCTTATGGTTGGTTAAGGGTATTTGTGCATCTTCATAATGTTTTTTTGCATGGCCATTCACATACCTTCCAAAAGTCAAATGAAAATATATTTTAATCTAAATACTGCTTTCGAGGTTAAAGTAGCAGGAGATGATAATAAAATTAGATGGTAATCAAATAAGAATGAGAAAGAATTCCTCCTAATAAACTGCATTCAGTCCTATAAGAGCATTCATCACTTGGTGATTTATTAAGCTGAGTTCTTAAAACATACTCCTTTTTTGCAAACATACAATCAACTTTTAATTATACACAAGACTAGGGCCAGGAAAGGAAAGGCGCTATCTATTTAAATCAGTTTTAATACCTTATCAACTCCTTTGCTGATTCTTTTGCTAGCCTGTTCCTTTTTTAAGCTTTTCTCAGGCTGCCAGCCCCCAACTCAGGCTATTATCAAAGACAAGCTTTGTAAACTGAATTACTCAATTACAGCCCACAGGGCCACAGGCTCTGCTTGGGTTTCTGCTTAATATAAAACATGAGGGTGAGACATGGAAACAGGATAATCTCCCATCTCTTTCTCATCAATATGGCTTCAGATCTTTTATTTGAATGCCTGAATAATCACTCCACTAACATGGAAATAGGGCTTGTTTAAAAGAAATCCTAACAAAACACAAATCATCTTAAGCTTATATAAACTGTTATTTCTTACTACATGGACAAAGATAATCAAAGGTTGACTATACTCATAAAAATTTTCTAACACTTTCCAACTCAGATTTAATAAATCATTTTATCACAAAAAGCAAAATGAAATTTAAATAAAGTTTCATTTATACCTTCACCTAAACACTGTACAATATAATGCCATAACTGCTACTACTTAAAGACCTTCATAAAGCAAAAACTTTCCAGTTCCTAGCAAACAGCCAGTTTATAGAAGGTAAGGCCTAACTGTAAACTAAGAAGAGTCAAAACAAATGTTGCTTACATAGTACCAAAATCTGCTCAGAGAGTTGAGGTGACATTGTTCTCATAAGGTGCCTTAATTGTACAGGAGCAACACTTACCGTGGAGAAAGTAGGGTAGTTTTTGCTAAGTAGGGAGGATCACGGGCTTCCCTGGCGGCTCAGACAGTGAACAATCTGCCTACAATGCAGGAGACCTGGGTTTGATTTCTGGATTGGGAAGATCCCCTAGAGGAGGGCATGGCAACCCACTCCAGTATTCCTTCTTGGAGAATCCCATGGACAGGGGAGCCTGATGGGCTACAGTCCATGGGGTTACAAAGAGCCGGACATGACTGAGCGACTAAGTACAGCACCGGGAGGATCGACTTCCAAGCCCAGCCTCTCCACCCGAGGAAAACTAGAGGCATCAGAGGCACTACTAACGTCAGGATGTGATCATGTTTCCTCCCATTTTTTTCACTGTAATAAACATAATGAAGACTTGTGTGTAGGGTCTTCTGTTCACAAAAGTGGACTAAAATGAATTTTCATATAAACAATGATTAAGAGCATAAATTCAAAAATTAGACAGCCTAGGTTTAAAAATAGGCTTTGTCACATGCTGGTCTGGTATGTTTGGGTGAGTTACTTCACTTCTCTACTTCTGTTTCTCATCTATAAAACTGAGATAATAGTACTTATACCCTATGGGCTGTTAGGTGATTATTATTATAATCCATGGCTCAGAATGCATGCATGCATGAATGAATGAACAAATGAATGAATGTCAGTTTTATTTTACTTGTATTTTCCTTTATATGCTTAATCACTATCTATTCAGAATCTCAATAACGTAACTGCTTAGAGAGTCATCACATTAAACATACTTCAAGATAACACACTGGACAGATCAGAAAACATCCAATATTTAACTAAAAGATAACTTCCAAGGAACCGTATAGGTTCACTATCTAATCAGCTTAATAGCCTATGCTTACATGTTTTTGTACTGTGTCATGAAAAACAACAGTAATATTTATGAGTACCCTCAGAATCCCATAAAAGTCAATATGGAACAATAATAAAGGCATTACCACTTTCAAGTCTTTGAAAACTGATAATCTGGACAGAGTATATAGTTCCTTTACTAACCATACTGCAGTCTCCAAATGTACTAGATGTTTTCATGGTTACTATAATAAATTTCAGTGATAAAGTAAGAAGTGTATTAAAGATGACATTAAGATTAGCAATGTTTTGGCTAATATTCAAATACATATCAGAAGTTAACAGTCATGTATAAACTAACATAAAAATACACATTTCCCTCATCCAGTTTTAGATTTTAACCAGATAATTTGTCAAAAAAAGGAAGAGTGTCATTATACAACATCACAGATTTTTTAACACTGGAAAAATAACTTAAATGGTATGGTGCCATAATGGCCAATAAGATATATAACCCAAATATGCTACTGATAAACTATGTTTCCTAGTTGAAAGAATATTCAATTTAAGACTCCCCTATAGACAAGTGATCTAAATTACTAAAAAAATCAGAATTCTTGGCAGTGAAATCCCAGGATTACATGTAAAAGAAAAATAGCCAATCAACTATATAAAATGAAGATTCAAATGCAGGGTACTCTCATTATCTATGTAATCTACTTAATCATATTTCTCTGAAACTATGTCAAATTTATAAACCTAATATTGATTGAAATTGGAAACATACTACCTACAGAGCCTAGAAAATTTTCCATTTATTCTTCCAATACTTACTTAGAGAACTATGTGTTGCTTGCTATTAAGAACCTTAATCTCTCCAATTTTTGAGAGTTTGTCAGGTCTTTTTGTTGACATACGACCTTCCAGATTTTGGTTGTAGAGCACTAGGAGACAACTGGAGGACAGAACTATATCAATTTTATTGCATTATAATTCTCACCTCTCAAAATCTAGGAGAGGAATCTGTCTCTTCAAGTGCAGAATTTAAGCGCTTCTACTTTTCTTCTTTTTTTTTTTAAAAAAATGTTATCTGTACAAAGTATTTTCAGGTTCCCCAAATCCTAGAGATTTCAAAACCACAACAACCACAATTAAGATATGCAGTTAACATTTTCCAAAAGCACTCTTAAGTGTACATGGAAAAAAAATACTCAATTCCAGGACTGAAAATATGAAAAATCAAACGTTAACTGAATGAAGATGCTCTCTTCATGCATTGAGTGTTTACAAATAATAATGGAGAAGCCACCCAAATAAACACAATATAAATTTCAGACTGAAGGATTCAGTATGATTTCCCATCCCCTTGCTGCTAAGCTACTAACTTCTTAAGTAAATTCAAAGCAAATTTTCTAAGCTGAAAGAGCCATAGAAATAAATGTGCTACTACCCGGCACACCAAGTCTGCTACTTATTTGAGCTTCTGTTAGAAGAAAGAGTTACTAAAGCATTTGATATTTAAGTAACATCATTTTGAAGCCAAGAACTAGGAGGAAATGCTTAGGCTTGAACTGGGTTTGGGAGTGTTAAGCCCCTAGAAAGCAAAAATGTTTTAATGGAACAGTGAAATATTTGGAATGTCTTAGACACCATTAACAACAAACTTCACAGTGAGACCATTTTCAAGGGAATTCCTTTATCTGTTTTGTTTTCAGAAGAATGAGATGGTATCTTGGATTTGATTCAAAGGTCAGTAAAGGTAGGGATGAGTAGGTAACAGGTGAAACAAAACTGGCCACATGTCAATCAAATATTACGAATAGATTGTCTTGATCATCAAATTAATTCTTCTGAGTATCAACAGAAAGGGGATTTCCCCCCCCCGACCCCACCACTAGATTTTCCTCAGTTCCACCGCTGAACAAAGGGATTCTATCAGGAGAGGGAAGCCGTACAGAGACGTATGTACACACTGTGATTAAACAATGGTGCTAAATAAATCCGAATCAATAGAACTTTGACCAAAGCTTAAAGGTAAACTGAAAACAAGCAAGTTGGGTAGTTAAGTAATGATAAGTAAGTCACCTACCTTCCACAGTGGACACTTGAACAAGTCAGACAGACCCAGGGGCTTTTGTTGGACCGGCACACTAATAAAAAGAAAAACACACAGTATACCAATTGTATCACGTTAGTCCCCAGTTTCTCCCCTAATCTGTAACACCACATCCCGTGATTAAGCTATAAACTCCACGTCTGCTTAGGTGCACTGGGATCACAAGTGCCCGCTTTGCGAGTGCATTTACACAAGATGGCTGCCTAATTAAAGTTACGCGGCAAGGAATCCGAACACACGTCCAGAGCAGCTGCTCACTGGCACTGCTGACTCAACTCAAACGGCTTAACCACAAGTTAAACACACTTCTCCTTCATCACTCACTCCTTTCTACCAGCGTCTCTGACAACTGAGGGACAATCTATTGTCTCGTTAAAAACATTTTTTAAGTCTAAATCTTTAAATCACATGTCTTTACCACACAGATCATAAGCTACTATAAATGACAACTCTTTCGGTTTCTTTAGTGAGAGGCATAGCCTAAGGATACAATTCGGAAGACTAAGCCCAATTCTTCCCAAATTAATGCCTCAGTTGCATTAAATATAATTCTATAATTATAACTGCATGTAATTCTTGCTGAAGGTATAATCAGGATATTACTTACTTTGACTATTTATTACAGGGATGAGGTAGGCAAACAGGGTATGAAAACTTTTAAAATATTGATTACAATTTTGCTTGCTGTTTACTTATTCAATTTTTAAAGCCCTATAAACATAACAGTGATTTTAAAAGAGAAGGGATCACCTGAAAACAGCTTTTTCAAAATACACACGTTCTCTGGGCAGAGACATCTACATTGAGGTGCAGACAGAAGGACAAAAGAGCATGTCTATTTTGAGAAAGGTAACTTCCCAGGTGACTCCTTGAGAACCACTAGGCAGTCTCCTAGGGGCATGAGAGGGACAGCGCAACCAATACTCAGGATTATAATAAACTGACAGCCTGGCACACAGTATATGCTCAATAAACACTTGTTGAAGTGAAATTCAAATGTCTTAGTTCAAGATACTAAGCTCTTCCAAGATCTGATCCCTACTATATCGGTCTTGCCTAATCAGTATGTCACAATCAGCCTTTCTTATTGCTAAGAAAAATTAGCCAATACTGGAAATAAAGTGACTCAAGAACTATACGCCCTTTCAATGTATAAGGAAACACATTATACTGATACAATGAATATCCCAAAGATATTTAATTATAATACCACTGTGTGACCTGCTGTTTTCTACTGACTAGGACTCAAATTCCATGAAGTTACAGGTAAAATTGTAGGATTTTATTTGGTAGAGATAATATCTGTCCCGCATACTCCGAGGGTTATGGTTTTACTACCCTGCAGGACATTAATTGATTTTATATCTAACCTAGCAATTTACTTCAACATTCATTCTTCAGTGTCTGCATTCACACAATCCCTCAAATGCTCTTGGAATCAGCTTCACCATCCCACTGGTTTCTTCATTAATGAGTTAAACAAGCCCTTGACATACATTCATTTTATATTTGTGTAGGAGGGGAGGAGAGGGCAAGGAGGGATAGAGGAGTACAATCATACACTATCCAAGGGGCTCTGCCTGTCTGCCCAGCACAGGGTTCTATTTGTGCATAAGAAAGTTTGCGCATGCATGCATGCTCAGTAATGTCCAACCATAGCCCATGGACTGTACCCCACCGGGCTTCTCTGTCCGTGGAATTTTCTAGGCAAGAATACTGAAGTAGGTTGCCATTTCCTACTCCAGGGGTCTTCCCTACCCAGGGATCAAACTAGAGTCTCCTGCATTGGCAAGTGGATTCTTCAACTCTACACCAGCTGGGAAGCCCATAAGAAAGCTTTCAGTGGTAAAAATCCCTTTCCAGTTAACCAAGGGCTTTACCTTACCTTTACCTTTCCTTATTGCATTATATCAACTGCTAAGGGCCATCCTGACGGCATTTTAGTTTTTTACTCAGTTGGGTCCAAGTTTGTTATATGTGCATATAAGTCACATGACAAAGACTAATAAGAAAAATGCCAAACTGCTAACAGTTATTTAACACAGGTACATGAGAAGACTACTGTGAGGTAGTCTTGGCTATTGGCTTTTTATGTGTACACATCCCTGTGGTATCTGATTTATATCAATAAAAACATGACAGTCTTATAGTTTGAAAAGAAAGACCTATAAAGTATATTTTTAAAAAGAAAAATAAATTAGAACACAGTTTACTTGAAACAGATAATCCTGATCTGAGATACAATTTGAAGGATTAAAAAACCACAAATATTATCTAGTCTTATTCCTCCACAAATCTTTTTCTTTTAGTAAAGACTAAGAAATATTGTATTCAGTCTGGAAAAAAAGTTTAATATGACCCTGAAATAAGTAAGTACAATAGTAAGTTGTTTTATTTTTTAAGATTTGATTTAGGTGGACCATTTTTAAAGTCTTTGTTGTATTTGTTACAATGTTTCTGTTTTATGTTTTTTGGGGGGTTTTGGCCACTAGGCATGTAGGATCTTAGCTCCCCACACTTGCTGCATTAGAAGGCAAAGTGTAACCACTGGACCTCCAGGGTCCTCAGGCCCCAAGTTTTTAACCATTAGAGGGTTTTACTTTTTGTGTAACTATGGGAAGATTATTTTTGCCCCTCCTTTGAATGAGGAAAAGAAAACCTAGAACAACATCACTGTTGTGTTTCCTACCAAGTGTTCATCCCCTTCCCCCACCCCGATGGTTGTACAGTGTGTGTATGGACAAAAAATACATACAATATTGTGATCTAGTTTTTCTACTCAGTACAGTAAATGCATTTCTTCGTGTTACTAAATTAGAACATGCGTGCATGCTCAGTCACTAAGTCGTATGTGACTCTTTTGCAATCCCGTGGACTGTAGCCTGCTAGGCTCCTCTGTCCATGCAATTTTCCAGGCAAGAATACTGAAGTGGGTTGCCATTTCCTACTCCAGGGGATCTTCCCAACTCAGGGATTGAACCCACATCTCCTGCATTTGCAGGCAGATTCTTTAGCCACCAGGGATGCCCACTAAATTAGAAGAGTGTACTCGGGTCTTATAAAATCTCAGTTACCTCATAGAGTTTTAATTCCTTAGTTTTAAATTTTAGAAAATATGCCCTAAGCCTGAGGGAAGGAAGAATAGGGAAGAAACTGCCTAACAGGTGTAGGGCTTATTTTGGGGGTGAGGAAAGTCTTGGAACAAGATGGAGATGAGAGCTGTAGATGTACTAAATGCACTGAATTTGGTTGTTCATTTCAAATGGTTAATTTGGGGAACTCCCCGGGGGTCCAAAGGCTGGGACTTTCACTGTCAGGCGCACAGGTTTGACCCCTGGCTGGAGAACTAAGATCCCACAAGCTGCACAGCTTGGCAGTAAGTAAATTTTTAAAAAATCTTTTTAAAATGTTAATTTTATGTTATATGAATTATACCTCAGTTAAATAAATAAACAGGTGCTTAAGACAGGGATAAGGAGAAAGAATAAAAGGAAGTAAAACAGCATTGACATTCCAAAACACTAGAAACAAGTGAGTGTGTCTGTTACTAAATCTCAAAAAAAGACCTCACTTCTAAATTAAGAAACCAAATTTCTTCTATTATGAATATTTACAATAAGAAAGTTAAGATTTAATGTGTGATAGGACATTTGGTCTTGGCTATTTAAAGGACAGTACTCTCTGAGTGCGTAATACTTTCACAACAGAAGAACATCTGAAGGCTAGGAAACTACAGAGAATAGGGTTATTATGAAGCCATTTATTACACTGCTTTGGTTAATATTCACTCTGTTTATATATCCCTTATCCAAATTATGAAACCTTTAATGTACCCAGGAAAATTGTAAAATAGAAGAAAAAATGCTGGCTTTAAGTTAAACGCTCAATTATTGCTACAAATAGAACAGATCACACCATGAGTAAAAGACTATTACAAATAATCTTAAAATCATTCTAATCATCTTAAGGGGACATATCTTATTATAAAAGGTAGTCTCAGTTTACAGACAGATGGGTTTCAGATTTATCTGTAAGATGAACACATTTCCTGTGGAAACTGCATTAGGGGTTTGCAGGCTATTCTATAAAACTCTATAAGAACCATTACAAACCTGAAATACTATACTGTGTGTGTGTATAAAATAAAACCATACACAGTCTATAAAAATGTTTTTAAGCTATAAACTATTCAGCAAAACATAAAAATATTAAACAAAGGTTTTTATTTTTTAAAAGGTAAATGCTGGTACTTGAGAGAAAGAGGGTGATAAGGATGGAAACTTATAGAAGTTCAAAATGATAAGCCATAACTGAGAACTCATAAAGGCTCTTTTTACTAAGACATCACCTTGAAGATGTCAGGGCAAGGAAGCCATGCAGTGTATTTCTCTGTTACACGTAGCCACAGGAGGGTCACTGTGGATCTCATAAATACAGTCTGGTCTTCTTTCACTCAGGTTATGAAATGTCCTCAGAGTTACTCTCCTCCAGCAATCTGTCCCATATGCTGAGACTCTCGCGGCCCCAAGCCGAGGTCTCCTCTCAGCTCCTGGGCATCTCAGCCTGGGGGACAGACACTGTCTAGCCCCTCACTCTCTTCCTGCTGCTGTGGCCTCAGGACCCTGTCCTGTTCTCACCCTCAGCCACAAGCTCTGCAAGTTGGCAGAGGCACCCCTTTGAAGGGGGTGGAGACTCTGGATCCTCTCCCGAGCTAGGGCCACTCTGCACAAGGTAGAAGCTGTGACACAGGCGGGGCAGGCAGAGAGGTGGAGGAGCCCCAGACTCTAAAACATGCTCATCTTCATGGGTTCCTGCTGAAGCCCCCAAAGCTTTAACTCTCCGGAAATCCCGAAGTGACAACTGACGGTGGGAAGGCATCCAAGTGATCTACAAACCAAAGTGGTTTTATTCCCTACTATTCCTATAAAGGGGGCTTCCCCGGTGGCTCAGCAGTAAAGACTCCGCCTGCCAATGCAGGAGGCATGAGTTCAATCCCTGGGTTGGGAAGATCCCCTGGAGGAGGAAATGGCAACC